GTTGCTTATACTTAGAAATCTTTAAATAACTTTTCTTGTTAAATATTGGCCTAAGGCTTTTCTGCCAAMGTTATTAAAGGTATGCCATAAAGCATACATAACCAAGTTAATGTTGCTGTAGGAACCTTATCTTTGGAATTTCCTGACATTTGAGGATTTCTCATTTTCCATTTTAAGACTGAAAGCATGAATCCTTGCATTTAATTTCCTGAGGCTTTAGAGAAATGAAGAAAGAAGAGCAAAGAAAGGGAGAAAGAGGGAGGGAGAAAGGAAGAAGAGAGAAGAGTAGAAAGAAGGGGAAGAGAAAGAAAAGGCAAAGAAAAACACATTTTCTCAAACTGAGGATCTGAACCCACTAGTCTGGCTCTTGATGAGGTGTACTAATTGGCCAGTGAAAATAAGCTGGATACAATCTCTAAAGCTCACAGCTTAGCTGTGTAACTCTAAACCTTCAGAACCTCAAAATCCTTAATCATTTCTTTCTCCAGCCTTGGCTTGGCTTTCCTGCCACAGAGAAGGCAGCAAGTCTGCCAAGTGCATGGTTGAGGCTTTTTTTTTTTTTTTTTTAAGAGATAGGACCACAAAAAAGAGCATTCTTTACCCTCCTTTTTTAAAGAATAGAAAATGAACATCTTGCCCTAACCACCTCCATTATACTATGTTAAACAAAATGAAAAACCTACAGCCAAAATTCTTAAAACACAGCTGATGCAACCATATTCAAACTGGCCAAGAAAAATTTCATCTTTGGACTGAAACTAAGTAACTTTAGCTGGTTATAAAGAAAATGCTGAAAGACTGAAAACAGCAGATGGTAGCTGAGGGAGAAAAGATAGTGGGAATAACTATTTACCAGGACGATTTGTCTGCCCAAATGAAATTTTCCAGTTTACCAGAACCAACCTGCCCCTGGGGAGTGAGGCCCCTTGGAGGAACAGCCCCAAAATGCCCCAGAAGCACTACATGGGAAGTCACAGACCAGGAGCAAGAAAAGTCAGGACACTATCAAGGAAGCTGGGCTTTGGTGATGGTTTGGGAAAGGATGTAGAACTGGGAGTTGGAGGGCTGGGGTGTAGCTCAGTCAAGCTTAACACACAGGAGCCCGTGGGTTCAATTTCTATCATCAAACCTAGTTCCCCTCCCGAAAAAAAAGAACTGTAGAAGGATTCCAAACATAAAGAAGGAAGCCTCTAAATTCTACATGTCATCAGGGGTAAACCGAAACAGACTCTCTAACTTTATTTGCTCTTAGTTGATTTAAAAATCACCAATTTCAGAAGTCACAAGGCTGGGCAATAAATTATTAGTCTCCCAATAGCTTTTTTTTTTTTCCCACACACTCTGACCTGGGGTTATGATGATAATGGTTGCCAAGGTTACCCTTTAGGAATGAATGTGAATGCCATTTGCTTAAAACAGTGACTCTTCACTTGGGTCCTCAGAGGTTCCACAGTGACTGGAACAGGATGAAAATGCTTGGCATCTGTCTTCATGTTGCACGCGTCTCCTTTGCTGCCCTAACCTTTGGGTCAGATTCTATTCAGTTCTGCATATGGACAAGTGACCATCTGAGACATGTTTTATCCAGAGCTATAATGTAGGGTTAACTTGACCTAGACTTGCCGAGTCTCTCTCTTAACCTACTTCAAGGCTGACGACTCTTACCAGTCACCATGACTGGAAATGCCAGACCATGAAATGAGTAAAGAGATGACACCTGAGTTCCTGAAGATCTCCAGCTATTCTGAGAAAAGAAAAGAATTTTCCTCACCTTTATTAGCCTGTCCCTCTCCCTCATTTTTCCTATACTATAACCGCTCACCCYTTGAAGAGAAGAAACTGATTTGTGAGCAAAGTTCCCTCTTCATTCTTTGGCCACTGAATCAACCTTTCTTTTTCCCCAACACTCATCTCTTGGACATTGGATATTTCATGGGATGAGTTTCTAAGTACAGACCTAACATATACTGGTACCAAAGCCTGATAAAGGCAGTACAATAAAGGCCTTTATTGACCAGTCTCCAATATGGAATACTAGTATAAAAACCTTAGAATATCAGCAAATGGGCAGGGTGCAGTGGCACATTTCAAGGCCAACCTGGGAAACTTAGCAAGACTGTCTCAAAATCACTGGGATGTAGCTCAGTGACAGAGCAATTCCCTAGAATATGCAGGGCCTGGATTCCAACCTGGTACCAAAAAATAAAAAGTAAAAACAAAAATAAATAAAAGGTATTTCTTTAAAGTTGTCTTTTAAAAATATAATATACATTATAAATAGTTCCCAGGCCCTCTAATGAGAAAAAATTTCATTAATAATTGCAAGAAAAAGATAAAACATTTATGAATAAACTTAGCAAATGCACAGAACTGCAATTAACTACAAGCATACTTTTTGTGTGAAATTTGATAGTGATATAGGGAACATTTTGATAAATACATGCAAGAATTGTCAAGACATTTTTGAAAAATAATAAGGAAATAAATAGGAGATTTATAATATAATTATTAAAAAACCCTATGAAGTGGATACTATAATTATCACCATTTTACAGATGAGCAAAATGAGACCAATGCAAATTTAGTGGTTTGTACAATGCCACCCAGCTAATAAGTAGCACAACTAGTAAGTACTCTGGTTTTAGAGTCCTCTCTAATACTATATGCTGCATAATACAGTATTATATGCCACCTGGGAACAACCTAAGTGTCCATCATTAGGGGAATGGATAAATAAAATAAGTTTATCAACATGCTAGAAAGAATGTGGTAGTTAAAAAAAGGAAGGTAGTGCTGGATGTGGTGGCACATGCCTGTAATCCCAGTAACTTAGGAGGCTAAGAAAGGGTCACAAGTTTGAGGCCAGCTTCAGCAAGACCCTGTCTCAAAATTATAAATAAAAAAGTCTGGGGATGTAGCTCAGTGGTAAAGCACCTCCGGGTTCAATCCCTGGTACACCTCCTACCTCCCAAAACAGAAAGGTGGTAACACTGAAAGAGCTCAATGATACACTAAATAAAAAATGGTATATAGGGGCTCCGGTTATGGCTCAGTGGTAGAGCGCTCGTCTAGCATGTGTGAGGCCCTGGGTTCGATCCTCAGCACCACATAAAAATCATTTTTTTAATTTATAAAAATAAATAAATAAATAAAAATAAAAGGTATTGTTCCAACTACAACTAAAAAATAAATATAAATATTTAAAAAAATGGTATATGCAGCATGATTTCATTTTTAAAAGGAAATAATTTATGTAAATATATAAAATTTTAGAATATGAAACTTATTTTTCCTTGGAAGAGAACATAAGAAGTTATATTATTTGAAGGTAAGAGACTCCTACCTGACAGACCACACTGAGTGGGGGAGTGACATGATCTATATATATTTTTTGGAAGACTCCTCTGACTGCTGAGGGAGGAATATCCTGGGGGTGGGCAATGGATCCAAAGTTATTAAAGGGGTAGCAATGGAGGAGATGTAGTCAGATGCAAGTTAAAGTTCTAAAACCAGAACTGAAGGACTGTGTGAAAGAAAAGATCAAAGAAGACTCCTAGCTCTTTGGTCTAAGAATTAAATGAAAGGTAATGCCATTTAACAAGATGATGATTAGTTTGGGAGGTGGTCTGAATTGGAATATAGGATGGGACATGTTAAATCCCAACTATCACACAACCAAATGTAGACCCAAGCATAAGTTGACTACACAAACCTGAAGCTGAGAGGAGTCAGGGCTGAGATCTAAATTTGGGAATCGTAAGCATGTAATTGACATTAAAGTGATGGAATTGGATGAGATCACTTAAAGGGTGGAGGGAGATAAAGGAGAGAAGTCTGATCCTAGTGTGCTCCTGGTTTGGAGTGTGGGGGCTTAAGAGAAGGAGTGCTATCCTGACTTGTAGAAGGACAGAAGCCAGAGAAGAGGACTTCCCGGTCAGCAGGGAAGTGGCTGACTCAGAAGCCAAGTGAAGACAGTGATTCAAGATGGCGCAAGTCCTCAAATACCAAGAGGGGTCAATTAAGAAAAGATCAGAGAATTCGCAAATTGGACTTACCAAGATGGAAGTTGCCAGTGGCCTTGGGCAAGAACAGCTTCAGGATGAAGGGCCAAAGCCCAAGAGGAGCGGGTGAAGAAAAGGCAGAAGGCAAAGAAGGAAGGACAATAAGTACAGATAACTGTTTTGAGAAGTTCTGCTCTAAACCTGATTTCTAGGTTAGTGGGTATCAAATCAATTAGAAATGGACCCCAAATTATGTTTCAAAGCAGGAAAGCAATTGTTTCCAAAGAACAGAGTTTACTTTTAAGCATTAACATACTTTATTATTTAATGTCATTTTCATATTATCATATGATGCATCTGTATATATAAATGAGGAAAATAAGGCTTCAAGAAGTAACTTGTTCAAGGTTACAAAGGTAAACAAGAGGCAAAAGTAGCCCCAGACAATGTGCTTCCCAAGCCCACTCCAAGAAAAAACATGAGAGTTGGAAGATCCAAGTAGATACCAGGTACTACCAGTTAGAAGACTGCAAATTTCAAACAAATTCTTCACTTAACTCTTAGTCACTGACCAATTATAAGACTTTAACACATTTGAAAGGTAATTTTTAAAAGTAAATACTCTTTTTTTTTTTTTTAGAGAGAGAGAGAGAGAATTATATTTATTTTTTAGTTTTCGGTGGACACAACATCTTTGTTTGTATGTGATGCTGAGGATTGAACCCGGGCCGCACGCATGCTAGGCGAGCACGCTACCGCTTGAGCCACATCCCCAGCCCAATACTCTTTTTTTTTTAGGAGAGAGAAGAAACAGAACATGCATGGTAACCACATTTCCAGGTAAATCACCAAACTACCTTATGCTATGAACAGTTTCCAATAACTCCAAGTGAGATCCCTCAACTTAATGTGACATAATTAGGCTGAGAACAGGCAGCTGGGATGGGATCTAAGCTACAGCACAGTCACAAAAAGGGGCACCAGCCAGACAGCACCTACCTGTGGTCAGCACTGGGTCTCTGCCTTCCGGTCCAGAGCCTTCTGTTCACAGAGGCAGGAGGCGGRGACGAGGGCAGCGGTGGGGGAGGCAGGGAAGGCAGGGGAGGCAGGTTTCTTTTCTCTTTCCTGAAGCCAACGCCTGGGTTCCCATCCTTGTCTCCCTCTCCGGCATGTTTGAACGTTCTCCGGGGTTTGGGCAGGGGGTTGATGAAGGGCTTTGTAGGGGACCCCTCTGTAGCCTCAGAGGTGGGCTCCCTGTCCTCTAGATCCAAGTGGTGGCCCCTGCGGCCAGCTTCTACGCCACCCCGGTGGTTCTCAGGAGGCTGGGGCTCCTCCTCTGCCTTGTGAGGCAGGCAGTGTGGGGAATAGCATGTCCCCGGCAACTGGGGATCCAAGCCTGCTGACCCGTCCTTCAATGCCTGCTCCAGTTTCTTGACCTGCTTCAGCACCGAGAGGTGGTCATTCTGGAAGTGTGGCTTCCAGAGCCTCGGCTCCCGGCCTCTGTTCCCACAGGCCTCTGGTTCCCCTTCGAGATGGCCAAGGTCTGGCCTCCTCTCTATGTCCGGACCCCCAACGTTCACTGCCCCTCTCCACCTCTCACTTTCCAGGCTCTCTGTTTCGGGCCTCATTCCATTCTTACCCTCTGCGACCCGAGTTCTCACGACCTCGCTGCTACCTCTCTCCAACATGCAGGACGGCCCGTAATCCTCTTGCTCATCCACTAGCCTGCTGGGTGCTGCAGTGGGCAACTCCTTTTTGCCTTCCCACTCAGATATCTTGTCCTTTATGCTAAAAGCCTTGTGCCGGGCTCCAGCTCGGGTGCAAGGGCGCAGGTTCTGGACACCACCTAGCTGCTTCCTCCCAGCCCTGCTGGCTTCGTTGGGGCCAAGGTCTACAGCTGGGCCACTGATGATCATGTTTGAGCTGAACATGTCCATTCTTGCCTCCAGCATGAGGTTATTTAGGCTTTCCAGGGGGTTCCTTCTGAAGGGTGACTCTCGATCAGTCTTGGGGGAAGGAATGTAGGACTGAAAGAGTTGCCTTAGAGGGGCTTCCCCAATCGTTGGACCTTCCACCTTGACCCTGAGTCAGAAAGACAAACATGGGGTGAGGGATTCTTAATTGTGCCTGGCTGATCATGGAGACTGACTAGAACTTAGTTACATGCTAGTTGTAAACCATAAACGTTGAGGTCATCATTTAAAAAAAATTACTTTCATGTTCTCTTGGGCAGACAGCATGGTGGAATAAAAGGCAGCAATTGGGTTCTGGAGTCGGACAGACTTGGATTTGAATCTTAATTCAACCACTAACCATGGGCAACTTAAATTTAAGTCTGCCAAACTTCAGTTTCCTCACCTGTAAAATGGAGACTATAATAACATGCATCATGGGCTGGGGATGTGGCTCAAGCGGTAGCGCGCTCGCCTGGCATGCGTGCGGCCCGGGTTCGATCCTCAGCACCACATACCAACAAAGATGTTGTGTCTGCTGATAATTAAAAAATAAATATTAAAAAATTCTCTCTCTCTCCCTCTCTCTTTAAAAAAAAATATAATAACATGCATCTAATGAGGTGGCTATAAACATTTAATGAGCCAGTCCACATAAAGTATCTAGTGTGTTATGAGTATACAATAAATGGTGGGGCTGTTATTTTTTTTCCCTGACAAATAACAAGTAACTCTTTCTTTCTCTTTCTCTCTCCCTCCTTAATTCCCTCCCTCCCTCCTTTTCTTCCTTCCTTCTTTCCTTTCTCTTTCATTTACTTATTTTGTGATGTTGACGAATGAATCCAGGGTCTCACACAAACCAGGCAAGTGCTATACCATTGAGCCACTCCTAGCCCCTAGAGCAATTTCATGAGGAAAAGATTATATAGTCCAAGTTTTCCTTGCTTTTTWAAAATTTTTTTTTTTTTAGTTGTTGATAGACATTTTAAAAATTTATTTATTTTTAATGTGGTGCTAAGGATCAAACCCAGTGCCTTGCACATGCTAGGCAAGCGCTCTACCACTGAGCCCCAGCCCATCCTTGCTTTGTTTCTTTTTTTTTAATTTAAAAAAACAATTTATTTATTTATTTATTTATTTTTTAGTTTTCAGCGGACACAACATCTTTGTATGTGATGCTGAGGATCGAACCGGGCCGCACACATGCCAGGCGAGTCACATCCCCAGCCCCATCCTTGCTTTCTTATTCTTATTCTTTACAATGACTATTTAAAAACTGAAAAGGGCAGGTATAGTGGTGCACACCTTGTGATCACAGCACCACAGGAGTGTAAGGCAGGAGGATCACAAGTTCAAGGCCAGTCATAGCAACTTAGCAAGATCCTCAGTAACTTAGGGACCCACCTCTCCACCCCCTCACCCCCATCTCAAAATAAAAAATAAAAGGACTGCCAGGCATGGTGGCACATGCCTGTAATACCAGTGGCTCGGGAGGCTGAGGCAGGAGGATAGCAAGTTCAAAGCCAGCCTCAGCAAAAGGCAAGGTGCTAAGAAACTCAGTGACCCTGTCTCTAAATAAAATATAAAACAAGGCTAGGGATGTGGCTCAGTGGTTGAGCGCCCCTGAGTTCAATTGATACCCCCAAAAATAGAAATAAAAATAAAATGACTGGGGATATGGCTCAGTGGTTAAGTGCCCCTGTTCCATTCCCAAGTACCCCAAAATTGAACAATAAGTCACAAAGCTTTGCTAATTCCGGGCTTGATAACTATCCTGAGTTGAGTGGGTAAAGCCATGATGAGTTGGGTGTACTTGGAATGAGCCTCCTATAGACTGTGAGCACTACTGGGGTGAACTTTCACTGAGGGCAATGAAAATGCTTTGTTGTTTAGGCCTGTTTTTGCTACTGCTGATCCCCTGGTACCTAAAACAACACTGGCACAGCAGGTAGCCAATAAATATCTGCTACTTAAACGAATGTCTGCATAAATAGGCAGATCTGAATTTTACACATGGCCTAGAAATGCACTGTCCAATATACTCGCCACTAGCCACATGTGGATATTTAAACTTAAATCCAATTAAATTAAATTCTGTCCCTTAGTTGAATCAGCCACAAGTCAAGTACTCTCAGTAGCCCCGTGTAGCTAATGGCTCTGTAGTGGGCAGAGCAGAAGAATGAACATCTCCACAATGGCAGACATTGACTATCCCCTAGTCATACACGTGGGGATATAAACCTCCAAGTGTGATCTGAGGAGATTAGATACTGCCATGAAGATGCTAGAAAATATTTTGAAAGAAAAACATTTTTAAATTCATCTCAGAATATATGTGTTTTGAAATACAAAACATTCTTCCACCAGCAAAGGTTACAAAACCAAACACAGTGATCTTAGAAGTGCTGAAATTAGTGAACATTCATGGACCAGCCTCATGGCACATTTTCTAAATATACATAAATCTGACTGTATAGGGATCCTGAGACTCCATGAAGGTTCACAGTAAGGGATGAATAGTCAGCAGTTTCATGCATGCTGTTACTATAACTGTTCATTCCAAAGACTAACAGTTGTTTATGTAAAAACTTGTCCCTCAATGGAGACACTGGCATACAAATTATGCTGGTGTTCTTGGTTACACAGCATAAATTAGAAACTTGTGAAAATGCAAACACATTTTCCATGGATATGAAAGCAGAATTCCTTATTTAAATAAACAATTAGTATTCATAACAGAGTGCTTACAAAAGAGAAAAACATTTTAAATTGTCCTGTCAACACTAATGACATTAACATGAATTCAGATTTTAGAATCACAATCAGACCATTGCTTTTTTCCTGAGGGCTCAAAAGGCAGAATCCCTGCTCTTATGATGACAGAAGCAAGACGTAATGAGAGGACAGACACACAAAAACACAATTAGGGTTAGTGCATGCTTGGCGACAAGTGATGATAGAATATATAACCATCATGTGCTACTGAGCAATATTGAACAGTAGATAAATACATGGGTTTTATAGTCAGTAGAATTTAGGTTTCAGTCTTGCTCCATTTTATTTTTTTATTCTTCAAATAGAGTTCTGCAGGGCATAGTGGTACAAGCCTGTAATCCTAGTACCTTGGGAGGCAGGAGGATTAAAAGTTCAAAGCCTTGGGCTGGGGTTGTAGCTCAGGGGTAATATGCTTGCCTAGCACATGTGAGCACTGGGTTCAATCCTCAGCACCACATAAAAATAAATAAATAAAGGAAAGGTAATGTGTACATCTACAACTAGAAAACATTTTTTAAAAATATATTACAAAAAAAAAGAAAGAAAGAAAAGTTCAAAGACTGCCCCAGCAACCTAACGAAACCCTAAGCAACTTAGTGAAACCCTGTCTCAAAATAAAATATAAAAAGGACCAGGGATGTGGCTCAGTGGTTAAGTGCCCCTGGGTTCAACCCCCAGAGTACCAAAAAAAAAAAAAAAAAAAAAGAATCCTATCTCCTTTCTCTAGATTGGAACTTTCTGACTGCAGAGGCCAAACTGATCTTGTTTACTGTTCCTGGTACATAGTAGGCAATCAGTAAATATGTATTCAGTCAATGAATGAATAAATGAATTGCTAAGTTAATATACACAATGTTCCCAGAGTACAGTAGACATTATAAATCTTGATATCAATAGTGGCAACTGTGTCATTATAATCATTCCATTTGTTATATAAGATCCCAAACACCTGGAATGACTTGTCAGTCACTGAGGCCCTAGCTGGACTCTGAGAAGGAACACAGCATGGTTTGTCAGAAGCGCTCTTTGGATTTAACTGAACCTACTCAGCTCAAGGAAGCGGGGTCAGTGAGGAGGAAAGGTGGTGGAAAAAGGAAGGAGACCAAGAGCAAGCTCTCAGTTGGGGGGGTGTGAGATGGTGGTTCTTACTTGTCAGCCAATCTGTAGCTCAGGTTTGCAGTCTGGCTCTGGCTGCCCTTGGCTGGCCTGCACACTGTCATCATGTCAGCAATGAGAGGAGCTCCAGGTGGCCTGGGGGAACAGGGATGCACACTCAGTGAGCCCTGCCAGCCGGGTCACCCTCCCAGGGAAGCAGATCTCTGGCCCACACTCCACACTATTTATCCCTGACAGATTCCACCCAGGAGTGGGGACAAGAGGAATGTGCCATTCAAAATTCCCACCCCAGGAGAAACAATGTTGAGACTACCCAGTCTCAGATCCCCTACCAACCTCCTTATATGCATCTTTTAGCCAATGTCATCTACAAGTTTAGGAAAACAGTATCCTCCCCATATCCAAGGGGGATATGTTCTAAAACCCCCAGTTGATGCCTAAAACTACAGTTACTATGGAACTCTATGTAAACAGTTTTTTCTTTTACCTACATAAAGTTTAATTTAAAATTAGGCACAGTGAGATGTTACAAACAATAACTAATAATAAAAGAGAACAATATGTTGTAATAAAATTTATATGAATATCGTCTCTCTCTCAAAATATCTCACTGCACTTACTAGATTTTGGGACCATGGTTGACCAGGTGGGTGACTAAAACCATGGAAAGTGAAACCTGTGGGATGACTGGAACCTTAGAAAGCCAAATTTAAATATAACATAACTAGGTGCTAAGAACCACTGTGATGAGCTAACAGTCCCCAAAGAAGAGTATAAATAAATCCCACACCAAAATGGAAATCTCTCCACTGGGCTACTCTACTCTTCTGGCCTGATGGTTCATGTAAACCCACACCCGCCTTGTCCATGGAGTCCCACCAGGAGAGTGTCTCCCAGCTGCTCTCAACCAAGGAGGAGAAACCCCTGGTCACTAGTCATCTGTCTTGTCCAAGGAAAACTAGGAGGTCATCTTAGCAATCCTAAAAATAAAAAAAAGACCAAGTGGAAGCCAAAGAAGAGGTGTCCTACACTAAATAAACTCAAGTAACTGACTTGCTGATTTCTACAGCAAGTCTCTTGACTCCAATACAGGTAGACATTACTCCGATAGAGGTGGCGAGAAAGACGACATCCACCAGAGAAAGGCAGTAAGATGAGTTATGAGTTTCTGGAAAGCACAAACACCTCAGAGCCAGTCTCTCCTGATGGACAGGAGCTACCTTCTTGACTACAGTCCAAGGAGCACTGAGAGACTGGGGACTCATGTTCCTTTTCCAGGGAACTTCTAGGGAATCCCTCTCCCAACTCCTTTTCAAGTTTCCAAGACTTCTACCCTCTCCCATGCTGGCATACATGTCAGGTGACAAGGTAGCTGCCCAGTGTTCTGGCCTGGCCACCTCTGCCTCCAAGAAATCAAAGGGCGGAGCTTTAAGACCTGCACATAACTCTTGGGAAGGTCAGAGAGGAAAAGACAAAGAAATAAGTGAATATGGGCTGTACACTAGAAAACAGGAGGCAGGGAGCCCTGAGCTGAACAACTAGGACTGGGACAGTCAGCTTTACCAAATTGGATGGGTTTGGAGAGGGGATGAAGCTATGGCCTGCCCATGAGTTCAGATGTCCCCTTACTCAGAAACTCTGGAGCACCGTACATTCTGGAATAGATCTGTGTTGTAACTAAGCCCAGTTCTTGGAAGAAGCCAGGCTCTCGGGCTCACCCATCCTATGATGCAGGAGAGCCCTGAAAGGCCTTTCAGGGACAGGAAGGAACTCACTGTCCCTCTCATAATGCTTGGCACAGATGAGACTTCTGGAGCCTACCAATGTAGTGGGCCCACAGACAGTGCCCTTCTGTCCTCTTCTGGCAGAGGGCCACATGGGACAGCAAGGGAGCAGCCACTCTACACCCCTGCTCCTTGCTCTCCATGGGCTGCACTCTGGCTCCACACAGACCAAGTTCTGTTCCATGTGAGCGAGGACTTTCTACCTACCCTCTTCCTTCAAGCTGACACCCTCATCACCAGCATCATGACTAGGGCCAGGCTATGTGTACACAGTGCTCTGGGAACTCAAAGATGAGTAAGGCTGAGCCTCTGTTCTCTGGGAGAGTACCAGGACTGTGCTTGGGTCACCATCAGGCTGTAACCAGGTTCTCATCTCCCTCCAAGGGAACAGTTTCTCTACTCATCTCAGGAAGCAGAGCTTTTCCAAAGGAAAGCCCACTGTCTAAATGCACAGAGAACCACATATGAACTTCAAGATTAAGACCACAAGAAGCACTTAACCTCCAAACACATGGTGCTGAATGAACTAGCTTCCCATCGGGTAGTAATAACTTCTAGTACTAAAACCACAGGCTCCTGACAAACAACTGATGCTATTTTCTGAGAGCAAGTTCAAGTGGATTTCAGAGGCTGGAAGTCAGGAGGGCACAGAAGCCCTTGCACACTCAGCAATCAGTATACCAACACCTGGGAATCCAGAGCTATGGAAGAAGCTGCTTCCATTAAATTTGACTTTTCCTTTTTTGCCTCTGATGATTGACAACCATTAATTAGGTGACAAACCTAGCCTAATTTGCTCTGTGACTTAAACTACTGCCACAAACATTACAATCATTTATAGTCTAGATGATGGAGCCATTTCTCAAAGTAGGGTCCACTAGGGATCTGTTCCGTTAACCTGGAAACCCTGGCAGACATGAAAATTCTTAGGCACTTCTTTTATGTACCAAAACGAACTGTCTGGAGGCTGGTCTGGAATCTTAAATATGGTAAATCAAAAGTCTTAGCCAGGAGCAGTGAAACAGGCCTGTAATCCCAGAGATTCAGAAGGCAGGAGGGTTACAAATTCAAGACCAGCCTTAGCAACTTAGGAAGACCCTGCCTCAAAATAGAAAAAGAAAAATAGTCGGGCATGGTGGCGCCCACCTGTGATCCCAGTGGCTCAGGAGGTTGAGGCAGGAAGATCTCGAGTTCAAAGCCAGCCTCAGCAATAGCAAGGCGCTAAGCAACTCGGTAAGACCCTGTCTCTAAATTTAAAAAATACAAGGGGCTGGGGTTGTGGCTCAGTGGTAGAGCGCTTGCCTTGAATGTGTGAGACACTGGGTTCGATTCTCAGTACCACAAATAAATAAAAAATAAAGGTCCATCAACAACTAAAATGAATAAAATACGTAATTAAAAAAAAATAGGGGATGTGGCTCAAGCGGTAGCACGCTCGCCTGGCATGCATGAGGCCCGGGTTCGATCCTCAGTACCACATACAAACAAAGATGTTGTGTCCGCCGATAACTAAAAAATAAACATTAAAAAATTCTCTCTCTCTCTCTCTCTCTCTTTAAAAAAAAAAAATAGGGCTGGGGATGTGGCTTAGTGGCTCAGTGCCCTGAATTCAATCTCTGGCACCACCCCCACCCAAAAATAAATAAATAAATTAAATTAAAAAGGGCTGGGGATATGTCTCAGTGGTAAAGCACCTTTGGGTTCAGTCCCCAGCTCAAAAAAAAAAAAATGTTTTAGAAGATGTTTGCACTACCCAGCATTCTTTATTTATTCCTAGACAATCTGGCTTTGTGATTCAGAATGCTTACCAAGAGGGAGAATGAATGAATGAATGAATGCTAATCACATATTTTCCCACTCAATCGATTTCCATAAAAAGAGAACTTCCTGTTAGCCAGATGGGCTTAATTATTACTAATAATTTTAATTAGACTTAAAATGTTACAAAAAACTTTGAAGTTAGAGGATGGGTATATAAGAGCTCATATATTTTTGTATGTTTGAACATTTCTTTAAAACTGTCTTAAAAACTGGAGAAAAATGTTAAATATCTTAAAAATTCTAACATTTATAGTCTATTTATTAGTCAAGTCCTAATCTAATCCTATATCTTCTTGCTAAAGTGAACCCTGTAAAATCTTTTCTTGACTCAAAGGTTCTTTTTCAGCTTTGACATCACATTTATTAGAGGGCTTAGGTGAGGTTAAGAAGTCGGGGGAGAGCCTTCCCCTAATTACCTTTAACACTGATGGAGAAAAAGAGGGAGATGGAAATCTCATATGAAATGCTTCTGTCCCCGTTTCAAAAGCTCATGGAAAACTTAATTGCTACAGACTGCCACTGTTAGATTTAAAGAGGAAAAAAATTATTATTTTACAGTTCCTTAAAGTGTTACCCACTTGGCTTAAAGTTCTAGTCTAATCTCTCAATATGCAATTTTCTTTCTTTCGTTATTTTAGTTTTCAGTGGACACAACATCTTTGTTTGTACGTGGTGCTGAGGATCGAACCCGGGCCACATGCATGCCGCTTGAGCCACATCCCCAGCCCCTCTTTCCTTTTTTTTTTTTTTTTTTAATATTTATTTTTTAGTTGTAGTTGGACACAATACCTTTATTTTTTTAATGTGGTGCTGAGAGGATCGAACCCAGGGCCTCGCATATGCTAAGCGAGCATTCTACCTCTGAGCCATAACCCTAGCCCCTGTTATTTTTCTTTCTAAAAGTGACTTCAAGTACTAAAATGTCAAATACTTCTCTGAAATAGATAAAATTTTGCTTTGAATTTTTGTACCAGGGATTGAACTCAGGGCACTTAATCACTGGGCCACATACCCAGACCTTTTTAAATTTTGAGACAGGGTCTCACTAAGTAGATTCAGGGCCTCACTAAATTGTTGAGGCTGGCCTCCAATTTGCAACTCTCCTGCCTCAGTCTCCTGAGTCGCCGGGATTACAGGTGTCCAATGATGAAGATTTTTGAACACATATAAAGAGCTTCCCCACATATAGCAAGTGACTGATACCAGATCTTTTCCTGAGAGCAGTTTTCACCAAGGGGCTGCAGACCCGCAGGTATCTGAAGGAGAGAAAGTAGCATCTGGGGAAGGGTGCTGCCCCAGCCTGCTTGCCTGCCTGCCACTTTCCTCCACTGCCATTGGAGGAATCCAGCATAGACACTGTGGAAACAGCAGGTTGTTGAAGCCAACGTGGCCTTCAGTGCAAGCAGACCAGAGGGGTGGGTACTCTAGGTCCAAAGCTCAGCCTCGCCCATGAGTCTACTTACAATACAGCATTGTTCATATTTATTCTGG